AAGCATTTCTTGTTGCAACATTAATTTCACATGTTCCATTATCCATACATTTATAACGACTTGGTGCTCTTTCTTTAATACTTCTTCGAAAAAAACCCTGAGAAATAATTTTCAATCAAAATCTAGTATGTTGTGTTCATATTTAACTTACTTTACATCCTTCGCAAGTAATGGCACCTATATATAAACATATAGATTTATAAAAAAAAATAATTCAACTTAATGCATACCAAAATGAATACCACTTGATGGTGCTTGACAAACATAACAAGAAATTTGAGCAAATATATCAGCTACTCGTGGTGTTTGTTGTATTTCTGCACCTTCTAAAATTAAGAAAACAATATAAAATTTTGACTATTTCATATAATAAAACCTTTAACAGTCATGCCAATAATTTTACATTTTTGAAATCGACAATATTGACATTGTGTTCGATTATTTCTCGTTATAATACAATCTTTATTTCTAACGCATTTATATTTCTGATCTTCACCATTAATGGATCGTAAAAAAAATTTCTAAATCAACATTTTAAATAGTACATATTCATATACATATATATAATCTTACTTTGCATGCTTCACAAGTAATTGCTCCACAATGAAGACCAGATGATTGTTCACCACATACTTGACATGGTTCAAATCGAGCTTCGAGTAATATTGATAATGGATCTGTTAATTCTGATCGAGATTCATGTGTTATATCAGTATAACTATAAGAAACATCATTTTTCTATTGAACCTATATGCACAACTATGGCATTATTGAACTTGATATTAGACACAATACAATAGTTGATGTCCAATATCAAGGTCATATCTTCTTTTGTCTTTAGTAAACTAAGAGAAATTTTTTTTTTATATGATTCTTAAATTCCGAAAAAAAAATTCTTTTTAGTGAAAGTTTACCTGCAAATCATCTTTGACCGAATGTCATCCATTGCAAACATAGTTAAGTTCTAAATATTGTTGATGATATTTGATATTTTCTTCTTCAATGCAAAAAAAATAGTGTAAGAAGAAGCAATCGGGAGAGAGGAGAAGAAGAAGAAGAAGAAGAAAAATGTGTCTTTGATTTTTTATTTGCGATCTGCCGACATCCAATGACCAATCATATAAATTGACGTCTTTTTTCTCTCTACTTTGACATATACAAGTAATTTTAACGTGAAAAAAAAATATTACTAATCATATGAAAGAGAAAAAGAAACCAAACAACATTTCCATGTCAATAAGAAAAATTAAAATTTGTCTTCTGGGGTTTTTATCAGTTCTAAATGATACAATTTGTCGCACTATTGTAATCATGTGTAAATTTGTCTGTTGTCTAGTATAGTGCTTATAGCTAGATAGAGTGAATACTATACGGTGACCAAGTTTTGATTTATTCGTCTAATTCTCTATTTTCATACGTTCTTCACAATCATATGAATATAAAGGTAATTCCATCGCATCACGCATACACTTTCTTCTCTATTTCGCTCGTCTTCTCTCTTCTCCCCTCCCCCCTCCTCCCCGTCTACTTGATACTATACACAAACTGCTCTAGATACCAGACACAATATTTTATTGAATGTGCGCATACATTCTCCTTTTAGGTCTTGCATGTTGGCGATGTTGATATAACTGTGTATGTTGAATGAAGATAGTTTATTGTATAGTAACTGAAGTTGAATGATAAGAATATGGTGATATGTCAGTCTAATGCAATGATGAATAGATTTATTTTGAATAATGAAAAATGAAAAGAAAAAAAGAAGCTAATTGAGGCAATGTCGATTTAGGAAACAGAAACAACGTTAATCTAACTTTTATATTTTAATACTTGTATTTTCTGTCATATAGAAATAATACTCAGATTTGTTGTTTTTTTCCCATAAACTATGATGTCACCAGGAATAAAATGTACTACCATCAACCAGGCTCATGAGAATGTTTTTTGATTCATAAAAAACAACAACAACATTAATGTTCGCAAAAAACCGTAAGAAATACACAGTCAACAAAAGTACATACAATTAGAAATAATTATTCGTGGAATTCTTTGTGATAGCGTCAGATTTGTCTTGCCTGTATATGAGACCTAAATTGGTAATTGTCGCTTCATTGAAACTTTTAGTGCAGAATATCATAGGATTGCATAAGATGAATATTACGGATTTTAATGTAATAGAATTTATTCAATTCTAGTTTAATAATTTTACTACTGTAAAACGTCTTCACGATGCAATGAAGTAGTACTCATGAAGTGTTTTATTGTGTTCGTTTGTTTCAACAATATACGATTTTTTTTTATTGATTTATCATCGTAGTTGGTGCCAAGATCGTTGGATTTTTTTCTTTTTCATCAAGTCACCTGATAGATCATGTTATCTCCACTACGAAGGACCTCATGGAATTCGTCTATGCGTCGAAAAATTTGTGAATTCATAGATTTTTTTGTTTGGGATCATTTCGAAACAAGCTCCTCTAAAACAACGCATCACACACATTTAAATCAACATATGGATGGTCCAGTAATAACTATATAGCTGTTATTCTAAATAAATTCATGCTGTTATCAAACCATTTTTTGTACATTTGTTTTTGAACAATATACAGTAACCAAACTGATTTATTGGCAGTATTATTTTTGTCTATCATAACATTTTAATGTTATTATTTTATTATTATATATACTTTACAATGTTCTATGATGCTATAGAACTTTATAACTACTTAGCGCAATCCAGTTGTAGTGGTGGAAGTACTTTATCTTGGTATAGAAAGCTTGGAAAATTTTCTCTTTATATACAGTAATAGTAAAAACAATGCTGTGTTTTTTCTGTGATGTTTGATTATTCTTCAATTAATATCATAATAATATAATTTCCATAAGAGTTATTTGTTTTTATATGTGACGATAACGTTAGATGATATTGTTTTCAATGTGTATCTTCTTTTTCTTTTTTTCTTTCTGGATGCAGGTATGAATGTTGGTATTCTCTTCTGTCACGTTCACATCCAAACAGCTACTAGAGAACCAGTTGGGTCCAAAATTTCCAGACTCAAATCCGTATCCGATGGTTTCTAACCGTCACTCATATCCTACATTAATACCCAGATAGAACCTTATTGATTAATTCAAAGATCATTTTTTCTAGAAAAGCTTGATACATACAAAATAAAAATCTTGTCTAACAAGTTTGAATGAACTAATCTGATAAGGGTTTGCTAAAAAACGAAATCAATTTGGTGGATTTTTTCCTTAGTAGTAATTAGANCTCTAATTAATTATTTGCCCCTCACAGATCGAAACAGGCAAAGCCCGAATCCATCACAGACTATCATAGACGGAATCAGAACCCATCACAGACCGTGACAGATCGCTTTAAAGGACTATCCGAGATCATGTGTAACTAGCATCTAATTCGAATATATGTGGAGTATTTTCTTGTTGAAGTTCTGTACTATAACGTAAGCAATGATGAAGAAATATGTCTCAATATACATAAACAAGACTAGTTTTTAAGGGATAAATAACAATAACTGCATCGTGTTTCACCTTTTAATCCCGTCGGGTTTGCGCTAACAGCTTTTAAAGCCATATTCTGAAAAAAATCAATCATTTATCTGATGCAAGAATCTTTTAAAAACAAGAAAAATAATAGCATCAAATCTGAATTATCTTGACGAAAACGAAAAAGGAACAGTTTCTATATATTGCCGCGTTGTCATCTACACATTGGGTTATACACACTAGTGACCATATTCACAGTAAGATGCAAAGCATGTTATTTCTAAAATATGTGACTTTTGCAGAAAAATCTTTGTTTTTATTCGAAAAACATGGAAAATAGAGGACGACGACACAACCAGCTTGTAGTTGATTGATTAACGATAGAAAGCGAAATATTTTTCTTTGTTCTTTTTTTTATGCTGCGAGTAAATTTCACTAGAGACTAATTGAAAATTAATGCAATGGATGTTTCTTTGTGTTTTTCTTTTGAATTGACTCATTGTTTGTTTTATATGAAATGTTGTATTTTTGTTTTTCGTTTTCGTCATTATTTGTGGCTTTTGTCTTTGTCTCATGTGCAGACGCTTAGGAACGCGTCTAAACTGAGTGCGGCGGTATGTCACTATCGATGTCACTGTCTCAGTGATATTCTCACTTCTTCTTTCTGTTCATTCTCTCTACTGTTCCTTCCTGTATTCATATCTCTTCTATATAAACTTTTATTTAATGTGAGATAGACAAATTCTTGAAATATGAAGTAACTCAATAAACATCATTACCGAAAGTCCCAGTAAGTTACTCCTCTAGTTTGTTGTCATACTAACCAAGTTTAAGAAGCTCGAATTGGTACATTTCTGGCGGCGTCTGTGTCTGTTGTAACGCACATGCTTGGAAAACAACAAGGATTCATAACTTAATTAGATCCTTATTATTTTGTAACCGAACTTTGCAGTTCTTTATAATTGAAATATGCCTTTCATTCTGCTTGAATTTATTACCAACGAATTCTTTCTACGCTATTAACAAATTCTAATAGACTCATCACACGATAATGTATTTTAGCCGATGAATGTATTATTTCTTATAAATTTTTTCGTTGATTTTGACGAACGCAACTAACTCGACGAAAAAGTATGAGTATAGTGACCATTCAGCAAATAAATATCTTTAGAACTATATTCTAAACGAAATAAATCACGTGCTGATGAATTGAATCGTATCCAAGTAATAAAGTAAATAAAACAATAAACAATACGTTACATGTGAACTTGTTAAAATATTTTTGCGTCTGCTGTGTGACTGGCTGATTTGTAAATAGGCGGTCGCCATTGTGAATTTAGATTTAAAAAATGTTTTCAAGAGTGTTTACAGGAAAAAAACACTATAAAATGAGAAATGAAAGAAAGTATCTTGATGAAAAGCAAACATTGCCCGTTCCCTGTGAAAAAAACCACGACTATTGCATAATCACGTTAGCAACAGATATTAACAGAGAAATGCTAGTACTTACAGGTATCCTAATCACTACACTTTTGATCATTATAGTGACCTATTTATGGCATATTCGACAAATATATAATTTCTTCAATCGACTCTATATTCCTGGCCCTCCACCAACACTCTTTTTTGGAAATTTTTCGGATCTTGTTAAGACTAAACGATTGTCGATTTCAATAAAACAATGGACTGAAAAGTATGGTCCTATTTTTGGCTATTTCGAAGGGCACACTCCAATTTTAGTTATATCCGATCCCGATGTATTACAAGATGTATTTGTTAAATCTTTTTCAAATTTTCATTCACGTCGTGCTTTTCCACTGGAAAATCGCCATGCTAAAGAAGTTCATATATTCAGTGCTTCTGGTCTTCGTTGGAAACGACAACGTTTTGTAATTAATCCAACATTTTCATCAGCAAAACTCAAAAAAATGACACCACTCATTCATCGAAGTATCGATGTATTTATGATGAAGATGTCTGAAGAATGTAAAAAGAATCAACCATTTGATATTTATGCTTATTTTAAACGATTTACTATGGATACAATATGGTCATGTGGTTTTGGTGTTGATACAGACATGCAAAATAATATTAATGATCCATATTTATTCCATTCACAAAAAGTTTTTAGCACAGAAAATGCTGTCAAAATATTGGTACTTCTATCTTTGTTTATAACAGAATTAAATAATATTTGGTATAAATTACATGTGCTTGAAAATTTTATACGTCATTGGCTTCGATATATTTTTCCATGTACGAGAAAATTTATTGATGAAGAACCGTCTAAATGGATTGTCAAACAAGCATATCAATTGATTGACAGACGTAAAAAAGTTGATCAAAGTAATCGAATTGATTTAATGCAATTAATGCTTGGATCAGCATCGAAAGATGATGTTATTCAAGTACGATCCTCTCATTTTCGTTTAATAAAAAATTTAGATTTATTTTTATTTCAGGATCCTGATTCATCTTTTGTGAAAAAGAACGAAACAGTCATAGAGCCACCAATTATTCGTAAACTAACCATATCTGAAATCGCTTCGAATGTTCATCTATTTAGTGAGAAATATTTCTTTTTTTAAGTTGTGATCTTTTAACTATCGTTGAATATTAGTGATTGCTGGTTATGAAACAACAAGTACTGCATTAGCTTATGCTTCTTATGTTCTTGCAACTCATCCAAAAGAACAACATAAATTACAAAAACATATCGATAGTTATTTTGATTGTGAAACAGAATATATTAACCCATCGTACGATACAATATCACAAATGGATTACTTAGATATGTTTGTTCGAGAAACTCTTCGCATGTATCCAATTGCACCAATAGCAATCAATCGTCAAAGTGCTGAAGATTTTCATGTAAAAAATATTGGTATTATTCCTGCTGGTACGTCAATAACTGTTGATATCTATCGTTTACATTTTGATCCTGATTTGTGGGGTCCTATCGATCCACATATATTTCATCCTGAACGATTCGGTACCAAACGTCATCCAATGGCATGGATACCATTTGGAGTTGGACCACGAAATTGTGTTGGAATGCGATTTGCTTTGACAGAACTAAAAATGATACTTATTTGTCTATTGAAAAAATATTCTATTATCGATTGTGGCGATCAAACACATAAACCATTCGAAAATCTTAAAGAATATATCGTTATTGCACCTGATCAAGTTATTGTTCAATTACAACATAGAGATGGACATCATGAATAATTATTTTAAAACTTTCAGACGTTGTTATTATATTAACAGAACTTTCATAAGTACTTTCATATAAAACAGACCAAAGAAAGAATAATTATTTTCATGACATATCATCGTCATATGAATTTTTCTTTCAGAATACTGAAATTTTCACTCCATGTATAAATTTTATTTGCTTCTACTTGAATGAAGAATCATTGAAATCAGTACAAAAAAACAACATACTCACATACTTTCAGTAAAAAGTTTTGTTCAGAGAGAGTAAACAAACAGAAAAGCAAATGGGTTAATAGAGAAATGAGAGCAAAAGAAAACAACAATTTTACTTTTCACTTTCCTCAGTGAATAAGACAACACGAAGAAAAAAAAAACCACATTTTTGTCAAATTTAACAAAGAAAAAGAACTACTAATTAATATTCAATGATATTCTGATCGATCTAAGTTACCCATCATAACTATTGATTTCCAAAATATTCGCTCCAATCTTTCAAATATTCATGTCACCCTTTATTTTTGATTTCGATTGATTTTGACAGATTTATAATCAATATAATTCAGTCATGTAGTTTTATAATTCTTGATACAAATATAAAAGGATAAAGTATTTTAATGAATGCGCGAATACTTTTAAGCTGTTGTTTTTGTCAAAAATGAGAAAAAGCATTATTCAAAAATCTCTAATGAAGTTTAACATCTCTCTGTTTATCTCAGTAATTGCTGCCTGTGACATTATATATACGGCTTCGTATATCTTCACAACTAAATAAGAAAAATATGTCAATGGATGTTTTGATCATGAAATAGAAAATACGATTACAAATAAACTACGTAGATTTGAATCTTTTATGAAACAGTTTGAATCTATTCAATATATTGCATACTCATCAATCAATAAAAAACTAAAAATTTTATATTGAATATATTAATATTATTCCTACTGATACATACATAAACTCAACCATTTTAGTGTTGTCATCATCTTGGTTTATTACTAGAATAAATGAATATTTTACCAATCACAAACAACAATATACAATTATAGACAACAGAAAAAAAAAACATTTTTCATACACTCCTAAAAAAGTTAAAAGAAAAACAATTCTTCTAACACTAAAAAGCATCATCAGTTTAATCTTGCAAAATTCTACAAATGAAATTTAAACTTTTTCTGTATTCGTTATAATATTTCGTATTTTAGTTCCATTATTCATTGGTTTGTTATGATTAATAGCATGAAAAGTTAAACATCCAGCATGTAAAATAACTAATGCATCTGTTGTTAAAAATCCAACACTCCATGCTAAAGACAAAAACAAAATTTTCATAAACAAGAAAGAATTAAACTAATTCAATGTCTTACGCCATGGTCGATATTGTACGGATTTCTTTTCACCTTCAGGTCCAATTGCCCAAATCTTTTTATTTCCTCCATCTGTTACAATAATACCATGACTGATTGGATCAATAATTAATCGATTCATATTATCAACATTTAACTCATATAAATCAATACGACGCACAAGTTGACCTGTTTAAATGAAAAAAAAATTCTTTCAGACTACATAACTAGAAACAAAAGAAGTTTTCACCATTTTTTTGACGTTTCTCAACGAAATATCTTCCTGATTCACGTTCACGTCTTTTTCCTAATATATAACAATATTGCATATCGACAGTTAAACTTCGTATCTCAACTCCAGATTCAAATGTTAATTGTAATTGTAAATCATGATCAAATACTGATATTTTTGATTTATTACAACCTTTTTCTGAACCATAAAAAATTAATTTTTCATCGGATGTTACACGTTGACAATTAAGACCACGTTCAACAACACGTTCACGTTCAAGCTGTTTACGTGTTAAATTACATAGATATAATTTACATTCCAGTGGTTTCGATGATGCTTGTTTATGTTCACCTATGATGATAATACTATCATCATGATAAATGCATAAATCTTTTATTTCACCATCTGACCATTGAATTCTCTAAAACAAAATTAAATAATTATATATTAAAATTGAAATGAACCTTTTTTTCGTTGTTTACTTCATTCTCATGTCCATTAGCATCAAATATGACTAATGAATTTTTATCTTTACTATAAAGTAAGATTAAGTCTGTATTTGTTATAGCTAATATTCCCCAATCATAACTTTGTGATAATAGAATTTTTTTATAAGATTCATTATTACAATTATCTAATTTGGATTGAAATGTTGATACACGAATTGTTGTTGAAGAAAGTTTTGGATTATTCATCGATAACGAAAGATCAGCAATAGAATTTGAAATAGGTTTTGATAATGAATGATTCGAGATCGGTGGATGAGAACGGTGACTGCCATTAATTCGTGGCGATGATGCTTGTTGTTGTTGTTGTTGATGATGTTCGAGTGAAACATTATGATGATTACTACCATTAGATACGTTTGTTGAATGATGTTGATGAGTAAGTGTATTTAGAGATTTATAATGGTTCCCTATACCATTTGAATTTTTTTTTAATGCTCGACTATGATTGGGTGTTGAAGGTTTAACTGGTTCATTGTTTGATGAAGATGAAGCTGAACTAGTTGAATCTATATGAATAAGTAAAAAGAAATAATATACACATTCAATGAAGTTATTCATAAAAAACTTAGAGGCAAGCTAATACGAGTATAATTTACACTGATATGTCCTATTATATAAACTCATATACCATCATATAAGGTACTGCTATAACAAAATATAATATCTTTGAAAAATCTAGAGTTCTAGATGTCATGAACTAAGTAGTATGTGTCGGACTGCTGTTCATGGCAGTGTATATCAACACATGCCCATATATGAGTTCTATAATTCTAGGTTTTTCAGGGTTATATATATTGGTATGGCGGCAGTACAGGTACGTATCAATAAGTGACGATATATAATCTGTATGAATGCTTCTTTGCGGAGTGCCATTCATTTCTCGTATACAATTTGTACCCGTCCTTGTACACTCCTCAAAGAACTTTTTTCATAGGTTGTATATCTATTGTATTCAAGATATATTATTATTTCCTTTCATTGGGTTAGATAAATATGTAAATAATTCATATGTATCTATAGTCGTATACAAGGGTATAAGATTTTATGACTATGTTATTCAATACATATCTCTAAGGTCTTACTGCAAAAGAATAGATTAAAATGACACCATAGAAACGATAAATATCTAACAATAAAAATTTTCTTCGGATTCTCTCAATGATTGACTGCTCATATTTATAGTGGATATATGAAACTGAATAAGATCAGACTGATGTTTTTTCTTCATTTCAACTTGGGGAAGCGAAAACTAGCCAAAAATCTCACAATAAAAGCTTCTAATCAGGCGAATAAACTAAACCAATACAAAAAAAATGACGGAAGACGCCGCTAAAAAACTACAAATTATTACAAAGGAGCACATGTTTTTTAGGTACATGCAACTTATGAACTAGAATTTCTTTTCAAAATTAAAATTGTTAGATTCACAGATTGGATGTGGATGCAATAAGACTCACATCAACACCCTTACTTTTACATGGCACTACCACAAAAATAAGAAGGACTACAAATAATTTATGAAGTGATATTCATCTATTTTTCGCATCAGCCAATGTTCGTAGATCCGTGCAACTTTTTCTTTGTTTTTATTCTTATTCTTCCAAACAATAGAACTTAAAATGAATAGAGATCTTTTATGATTGAATTTAATTATAAATATTACTTACCATCAAGATGTTGAATTCGTATTGAACCTGATAAAATCGATAAATGATTTTTTCCATTACCTAAAATTAATTCATCAGTTTGAGATGGTGAATCGATTTGATTAACTTTCTTTGTCTTCTTTTGAATATCATCATGATTAACTTCAAATACTTTCATATTTGGTAATCGTTCATGAAAAATTTCATTTGCTTCTCGAATATCTTCTTGTAAATGATTTAGTTTCATTTGTAATTGTTTAAATTGTTCAATGGTTGACCAATCTGTTATTGTTGTACGTAATTCTTGTATGGTTTTAGAAATCTGTTCACAACGTTGTTTATATTCATCAATAATTAATTCTAATTCATTATTCCATGTTGCTGATTGTCTTTCAGCGATTTCTTCATTTGTTATTTGTGCATGACGTAATTCATCAATTAAACGTGTATAATGATTTCGTATTGTTTCAAGAGATTTTTGTCGTGTTTCAACTAATTTTTCTCTTGCATGATTAATATAATCATTCATATTTAAATATTCTTGTTCTAATGTATTTATATTATTTGTTAATGTTGTTAATGTTTCACGTCTATGTTGATTAGCACATTCAAAACAAACAAATAAACAACAATGTGAACATTTAACAAACGATGGAGATTGATTACAAACTTGACATTTTCCATTTGCTTCAACATTAAAATTACATGATTTTATAAGATCAAGAACAGTTTGATTTAATGGTAAATCCGTAAAATCATTTATTGTCGAACATACTTCTTTGCGACAAGTTTTTACAGGACAGAAATGTTTATATTTTTCTTTCCATTCATTTTCAAGACAAATTGAACCTTGAGAAAATAAAAAAAAAGAAAGCAAAATTTTGGTTTTCATAGAAGTAAGAAAAAATTTACAGATAGTATGACCACATGTTGGAAGAACTCGTGGTTCAGTATAACGTTGTAAACACGATGGACAATTAACTAACGTTTCAAGAAGATGACGAGGTATTGCAGCTGCCATGAATACTAAAACAAAAAGAGAATGAAACTAAACTTATGCTCACATTTTTATGTACATTATAGGTGGGAGGTTAAGTGTTTGCCATCCTTCTTATCGATGAGAAAAAAGGAATAATGCTCATAGGTATAAAATAACCATTTCTCTTCTATCTTACCGGTTCATCTCTCTCTCTCTCTCTCTCTCTCTCGCTTCTGCTCTCTTTCTAGTATATGCAATATAATTTTCCTCGGTGTGAATATTTGTTCAAAGAGAAATATGTA